TTGTGGCGCAAGGACATCGAAATGCCTGCGGCTGTCTGTGGCACACACAACATAAATTTGCTTAAAGATTGACCAACCAACAACAAGAAGAAAGTTGAGGGGGCCAGAGTGATGCAAAGTGCAAGCAAAAACAAGTAGACAATGGGCGAAATAGAGACGCAGTCGCAGACGCAAATAGACTAAAGGTCAGAAGCCTGATAATTTTGGGGCACGAGATGGAAAATCCATAGCACACACTTCGGGGCAGACTGTCTGGGTTCTGGGTTCGTCGGCTGATTGTTTGCAAATGAACTCTAAGCCACTTGCCCTCGCCCTCAACCCCTCCTTAACCCACTTGAATTCATTTCTATTTTCTCGGTTTCCGTTTCCTTGGCACTCTTTGTCCTTTTATTAACACATTTTCCTTGGAATTGGCGTAGCGGTTTTCTTATGGCCCGGCCAAAGGGTTCTGCAGCTCAGGAGAACAATACTCAGAGAACAGCATTAGATCTGATTAGATGGCACTGCAAGACGGCTGTCCAATTTGCCCAAGTAAATTGTTTTCTTACACTCGGCTAAAACTCTGGGAACCAATATGAGATCCCATCCCATTTATTCTTTTAAAAGGTTTTATAAATACGCTCTTTAGATTCTTTTCGGAAAAACACTTTCCCAACAATTTGAGTTACGACCCATAAGCATTTGGTACGTGCATTTCAAGTTTCCGCTGGACTTCCTTTTCCTGTTTTCCTTGTTTTTTCCTTGGAAAACCCTGACCTTTCCCACCGCTCCGTTTGTTTTCCTTGGCGAAAATTTCTCGTGGCTGACCATCTGTTTGCATTTGTATCTAAATAGTTTGGCTAAAAGTTTTAATTTGTTTGATACGAAACTGTTTGGCTGCCTTTAGTGCGAAACCGAACAGCCAAAGCGGTCTCCTTGCGATAGTTTAATGATTCATGATAGGAAAGTTAAGTTTATGCAGCTCATGATTTGTGCCGAGAGTTGGGAATAATTTATTGCTCGCCTGACGCCGCTCACAGACAGGATAAGAGAAATCGGAAAAGTTTTTGCCCAGAGCTAAAATAAAATTTAGGAAGAGATAATTAATAAATGGGGAAACTAGATCAATAAGTTAAGGCCAGCTTGAACCTACGCAATACGCAATACAGATTATTTTTCCATTTTTAGCCCACTCAGCGGCAAATAACTTTTCAATTCGTCTTTCTAGCTGTTCAGCTTTCTGCAAACGGAGGCAAGTTTAATGGAATCTTTTAAAGAAAATAAAATAAATACCCAGGGACGTGCCGACTTGCCACCGGAGGTCCTTGGCCAGGACTCGCCTCGGAGCTCTCGACTCGTCTCCTTGGCCTCTGCTCTGATTACCTGGCAAACGCCAGGCCACATCAATCAATCGAGGCGGCAAAGTTTTATGCAACTTTCTGGTCCGTTGCGGTGTCTAACCAAGCCAATTAATTTGTGGTTTACATGCCATTCCGCTCGTCAATAAATAAATGCTCAGCCCCCTGCCCCCACCTTCTTGCCCCTGCGGCACACCCGTGGCCATTTCAATAGCAGCAATAAATAATGGAAATCAACATAGCCAATTTCCCCAAAGAAATTCAATGGCTGGGTAAATAAAAACCCATTTTATGTGGTCCATATTCGACCGCATTGTTCTACATTCCACGGTCCTTAATTGTGCGGCCAGCAACGTTCCCATTGAATCGAATTATTCTGCTGACTTGTTGCAACAACAACAACAATAATTGGCACAAAACTTTTGATTAAGGCATTTTTTCGGTTTAATTAACTGTTTTGTCTTTGTTTATGCATGCATGCGGCGATTGAGTGAAAAGAGCGAAATCAAATAAGTTCGAATGGAATGTTGTAATTTCCAAGCGAACAAATTAAGGTTGAAAATGGCAGATTAATTTAAAAAATGTAAACATTTTAGCATTATAATATAATGGATTTAACGAAGTAAAACCTCTTTATGATTATGACTGTTGAGCTCGGATCTGCACGTCTCATTAGAGGATTGGGTGCACTTTAATTTTTTCTGGCTTGCGGTAATCTGCCGCTGCATTTAGCTCTCAGCAGTGGCCGTCATCAGCTTTCCCGGGGTTTTCCCGGCCATTTTCCTTGGCCGTTTAATGCAGTCCGGAGAGCACTCGACCAGTAGAGGAGGAAAATGCTCGAGCGGCGGCCACGAGGAGCCCTCTCACGGAAAAGTTGCAGTTGACACCATCTTATGAAATTAGTTTCTTTTTCCCTCATTTCTGACTTGACATCGTTTTGGCCGCTGCTGGCACTTGAGGGTCTCGCTTCCTCTTGTCCTGCTTGTCCTGGCTGTTGTCCTTTCCGTGTCCTTTCTCCGCCGCTCCCTGTGTAATGTGAATATTCGTGCGGACATCGGGCTGCCATTCCGAACAAAAGCCACTGTCGCAGCACAAATCCTGGCCAGAGCAGCTCCTTCTTCTTCTGTTTCTCCTCGGCTTCCTCAGCTTCCTCGGCTTCCGAGCTAAGCGTTTTTGTTTAACTTTACACTTGACCCCCGAAATGGCCAGCTTCAGCTGCCCGGGATTTATGCCTTCGCATTTTTTGGTTGTCTGCAAGGCATTTTGCTAAATTTGCAGGTGGAGCTTCACATTCACAAGCAGTTTTTTGTTTGCTGAAAATTCTTAATTTCCTATGCTAAAATGCCTAAGAACATAACATAAAATTCTTACAAGCTAGGAATGGCTGGGAATATATGTAAAATAATAAAATAGGAAAAAATTGATTTATTTAATACTTGGAATTTTACTACCATCCGCTTACACTTAATTCCCAGATATTGATTTCAATACGCCTCCTAAGAGAAACAGCAACGTTGTGTTTTTAGTGACAGTAAAATATTACAAGTGAAGGGAAAGCAAAACACCGATACGTTATACAGATCATGAATCTTTTTTATTGCAAATTAGGGATTAGCAAGTGGGAAAGTGACATCTCGTTGGAATTTACGCTCCATGTTTATGGGGTCAACTAAGAGTGGAGGATATAGCCAATCAGGATATAGCCAATAAGTATTGAAAACCGAGAACGGGTTTGACCTTTTTGCGCTGCCATAATTCTTGACTCGCTCTTTGTTTAGACGGGCGTGGTCCTTCCAAAAGCCCATGCTCCTCAGCCTTCCGAGAGTTGGCAAACAAATCTGTTTAATTAAGGCGAAAGTCCTCTCCGGCCAAGACAGGACCCACTACCATCAAGCCATACAACCATGCCACCATCACCACCGACCACATCCTGCTCCTGCTCCTTATCTCGCCGCTGGCTCCTTGGCTCCGTGTGAGCGATGAGGTGTTGGTTAGCCTTTGGGCCAGGCAAATTGCTTGGTCAGTTCTTTGGGGCCGGCAAACACACTCGCACACCCCGAAGAGTTCATTTCAGTCAAGGATGTGCTGGACAACGGGGGGGTTAAGAGGGGATTGGGGGGATGGCCGGGTGCCAGAGCGATAATTTGTTGCCAGCCAGTCGCAACCTCTCGTAACTTAGGCGCTGCCAAAAAAACAGAAGCTCAATTTATAAATGAAATCGTTTCGTTGCCTCTTCCAGCACACGTAGAAAAATGGGTTATTATATTGTTATTATTAGTATACAATTTTATATCATAATTAAACCTTATTCATTTTATTATAATCAGTTAGTAAAAGGGATAAAAAATAAATGTATTATTTTAATTAAAAGGGAAATGTAAAAATGCAGATCTCTATTTTAAACTTCAATTAAACATTTTCACTTACTCTCTTTGAATTCAAATGCTTTGGTTCAAAGCCTAGTCTTATTAATCTCTGGTTCTTAATTGATTACTTCAAGTGTACTTCCTTGAACACACTTTGCATCCTGTATACTGAATCCTTGCCTTATCCTCCTGGGCCTCGCCTCTTTTGAGCGAGCCTTGAGTTTCTTTTTGTGTTACTTATCGCCTTGATAGATACACTGGGGTCCATTTGATTGCTTTGATGTATGGCCGAGAGAAATGGCAACCGGAGGGAAATCGCCGAGGAAAAGCGAGGAAAAGGTCGTCGAGGCGTCTTTGATTTGTTGCGGGCCCGATGCACTCGAATTTGTTTGCCTTTGATGTCGGCACATTAGTTTCTGGCTGATTTGAAAGCCTCACGATTTCTCCCCTTGTTCCCCTTTTGCCCTTTTGTTTTCGTTTCGAAGTGAACTCTTTTCCACTTTGGGGTTTTCCCGCTGCAGAGCAACAGTTCCGCAGACCGCAGGAAATGCACCGGCTAATCTATTTAAGCCATCGTGCATCGTGACGCTCTCCCTTCCCCAAAAACACTGGAATCCTGGCCAGCGAAATTGTGGCAGGTTGGCCCTTTCCCCAGCGACATCTGCTGCATGCGACACCACGGAAAGGGGAAAGCGGGGCATGCCACGGGTTCGCCTGCCAAATCGCTGCCACAACAAATTGCGAGCGTCTGGCCAAATGAAATAGGAATCCGCAGTGAGAGCGGCGAAGGGAGGAAATAGAATAAAAATAGTGGCTCAGAGGAAACGTCATAAAAATTGTCTATTTCTCACATAGATTCGCCCCGGCAAACACGAGTTCCATACTATATATACTCCAATATGTATTCGCTTGTGCGGCAAGTCTATAAAAATGCTTTTGAGTCGTCATGGCAGCTTTTGCCAGGATTGCCAGGCTGCATCTCTCCGTGTGGCAAGGATCTTGGGGTGGCCTTCAGGGGGGGTTTCTGGTGGGCGGTGGACAGCAGGGAGTCACATCTCCTGGTTGCCTGGTTGCCTGGCAACTTTTGCCTGCTAGTTGTACCCAATCGGATAATAAACAAACACCGCATCTTCAGCTTAAGCTGCAAAGTGAAAATTAAATTTAAGCCGAGCGGTTGGCTTTTTTGTATAGTTTCATAGGTGGCTCTCATCACAATTGTTGCTCATGAAATATTTCTAGAAAATATAAAACAGTTAGCAAAGTTCAATGGAAATCTTTTTTTATTTATGCAATATTTTCAAGTATTTCCAGTGAAAATTTCTTCTATCAATTTGTGGGAATTTCATATCCATTTTGTTTGGAGCTTTATATATTCTATCGTTGTGCAGTTGTTTTCCCAACGGGGAATTTCAATCATGAAATGTTAGACGAGCGAGCAGCAAGGATCTCCGCCTGCCAAAAACCAAAAAGCAATTCCTGCTCACTTTGTTTCCATTGCCACGCGTTTGACCTGCTGTGAAAGCAAAGTTTGTCTAAGAATTTATTGGCATAAATTTGCGAGTGGTTCTCCCAGACTCACCAGCAGACACTTGTTGGCCAGAGCCTCTGGGCGTGGCCGCTCCCGCCTCAATTTGATGTGCTTGTCCACACTTACGTAGTAGATGCCGTCGCTCTTTACGTTAAAAATGAAACGCTCCCCGCGCTCCGCGTTTTCAGCGGGTTTCTCCTCCTTAAAGCGTTGATCCGATAGATAAATTTGGCTTCCTTCGCTGGCCAACTCTTCGGTTGGCTTGAAGTTCACCAGATTGTGGCCGCAGTCCTTGATTAAATTCCGGCTGTAATCGTTGGGCGGAATGTCGAACTGCATTTGCACGAAGCTGAGGCTCTGCAGTTCCGGATCGGGGAAGATGGGGAAAACTTCCAGGGGACGAGCTTTGCTATTCGGCTTGGTGGGATGCACGAGAAGGGGTCTCTGCACCTCCTCGAAGGTCTTGTCAATCATCGCCTTCTGCTCCTCCAGGCTAATGGCTTCCAGTCCGCTCGAGACCTCGGCCTCCGCCTCCGCCGGTGGGCGCTGTAATCCCGGACGGAGGCGTGGCACCTGGACCCGCTCCTTGGCGAACATCTGGGCGCATTCCTGGGCACGACTTGGCCTCGGCCTGCTAAAATCCAGGCTCAGGGCTTCAATGTCCGAGAGGAGAGCCGCCTCCCTCGTCCCCATTTTCTGCACATTCTTTTTGGGTTTATCGTAAACGGACAGGTTCACAAAATCGAGATCGAACAACTGATGCAGCCCCCTGAAATGATGCAGGAAGTGGGACTCCTGCTGGGGATACAAAACCGGCTGCACAGTGAACTCCACAATATCCTTGCCGCAGGGCAGAAATTTGCAATCGACCGCCGGTGGGGGAACCTCATTTTTGAAGACAATGGGGCAGATGAACTGATTGCTGGGGGGTTTTCAAATTTTCAGTTGCGATTGGGTGGGGATTGGGTTCGGGGATTGGGGATTGGGGAAAGTGTTTTGCTCAACTCACTTCTTTGGGTTCTGCTTCCTCGGTTTGTCCAATTCATTTGCCGCCATTATGGAAGAGCTGCTTTTCCCTTGTTCGCTTGTTTTTCGCTTAGCTTAGTTTTCCGGTCTCCCCGCTTTTCCAATTGCTCGACAACTTTTCTGCTTCTGCTCCTGCTTGGGATTCTGATTCTGATTTGTGCCTCGTCAGTCACTTTGACAGCAGCTGCATTTTCCACTGACAGACGCAAGTTGGCAGCTCGGCGTGGGAAAAACTAGATGCCGATGGCGTATTTTCCTGGGAGGGAAAATTGGTTGGATAACAGACGAAGACCAAGAGGAAGTGGGAAATGATTTTTAAAAGTTTCATTTATGTGATATCAACACAAATTACTTCTCTAATGAAAGGATTACCACCTGCGGCTAGAATGCCAAAGAAATACTACGGAAGTATAATTTATAAAGCGAGTGATTTGAGGGAGCACCATTAATATTCAGAAGCCAAGCTGTTAAATTCCTTTTTGTGACGTTTTGTGAGCGAAGTGCCATTAATTAAATGCCCAACTGTCGATGGTAACTCACCAACTCCAGTGTTGAATAACAGCTAAAGTGTTGATAAACCCAAAGGTTGAACTTCGACACGTGTCCCTAATCAGCTTTAGTTGGCCAAGGTCCGCTTGCCAACTCGACTTTGCCGTAATCAGCCGACTTTAAAATCCCTTCCGTGTGACTCCCACCCTCCCACTCCCACTTGCAACCCACTTTGACCCCCACTTTGACCCCCGTGAGCATCCGCAAGATGCGGGCCACTCGGCCATAATGGACTCTGACTTGGCCACCTCAGGTTTTGGCCAGAGCTAAGCTCATTACGTGCCACGCCTCCACAACGCCTCCGCACATACAATTGCAAACTGTTGTTGGCTGCCGGCGGACGGAAATGGTTCACTTCAAAAAAATATCTTTTAATTTGGGCAAAGCTTTTACAATAATGTCGTACTTGGTGTAATCGGTGAGCTTATCAAATATTAAATGCCATAATAGGAACGTCTGCAGGATAATACAGATTATTACAAATGAACAGCTTTTTAAACGTTTTAGAAATAATTTCGTTGACATTGTATTACTTTTATTTGTTTTGTTCGTTCTGCGAGTTTATGAGATGAAATGTTTCTTTAAAGATAATTTTTTTATACTAATCTTGTGATTTTTAAGGATTGTAATCCTGGCCAGTTTCCAGTGTGGCTGATGGTGATGAGCTGCTCGATAAGAGTGGCTGGGAGTCTGGTGGTGGCTCGTGCTGAAATTAATTGATGCGACAATGGCTGAGCAACGACTAACTTAGGCCTCCGACTCAATTCGGGCCGCCACATCATGAGCTCATCATCATCGTGAGCTGCAAAATCAGTGGGAAGAGGAGAAGGCAAAGGAGAAGGTGGAGGAGGGGGAGGGGGAGTGGCAGGAGGTGTGCCATGTGGATGCCACATTCTGAGGGCTGTGCAATTTGGCGTGCGGAATTTCATTAGAGCCGCCGCAGTCGCCGGGGCAGCGAAATCAAAATTTAATTTATGCTGACATTGAAGTGTCTGTGGGGCAATTAAATCGACAGCGGGGCGTGGCAGCCGCCTCCGATGAGGCCTTTGTGTTGATTAAGTACCGCCGAGCAATATTTTAGCATAATGATGTCCTGGCACGCAGCTCGAGCCCCTTCGTTTTTTAGGGTCTGCTCCTTTTTTAGGGCCTGCTCCTTCGAAGGCATCCAAGGCATCCTTTCGCAAAAGGATTCGGACCGCCTTTGATGGCTGAAGGAAGATGGTAGAGGCTCTCATCCGATGGCTGATGGCTGAGAGCCTCGCCTGATTAGCCGTCCGATTAGCCTTTGTGCCCCGCAATTTACGACAGCTAAGCAAATTTTTATTCGAGTTCCCCGGCTAATTTCTTGATGGCCTCCTTGATGAACCGTCAACCGTTTTGGACTGCACCTAATCCAGTTGGCAGGAAAGGGATATCGGGCTTACACGCTCACTCTAAATGGCCGGAAATACCTATGTTACGGGCAATCTGCGAACATAAAAAATTACGTACTTTGTCCTAACTGGCGGACACTTCTCCGAGGATTATATTTCTAGGTACGATTTATTTCCTCCATCAAATATACTTTCCACTTTCTTTACATTTTTGTAAGCTTAAAGTACTATTTTGAGGCTAAGAAGCAAAAGATGAAAAGATACTTTTAAGACAGATTCGCCGCTTTTACTGTTCAGTGGCTTAAAGGACTTTCAGTTTGCAGAAACTACTTTTCAGTTGTTCCTTCTCTGCAGTAACTTTTTAAAAGCTGCATTTCGGTTGCAAGATACTCTCTTCGGGTTTAGTAGATACTTTTCCGCGGGTCGAAACACTTCTGTATCTGAAAACTGTAACTTTAAGGAGATCAGGGGAAGTACTTGGCTTATGTCATTTATCTGTTTTCTGTGGTGTTAACTTTCAAGTTAAAAATAACACAGGAACCTGCTTAAGAGTTTAAATTTAAAATCAAAGATATTCTGGTTGCAGATTTTCTATCTACAGTTCTTAATAGAGATTTTCGTACCTCTAGCATGTTAATTAACTTTCTCAAGTCAAAGAAACCTTTGCGAACTAAAACGGAGATTTCACTAACTTTATTTTCCCAGCTGTATTTCCTGCTTTTCCGTTTCCAAATGTTGTTAGCCCAGTTTTATCACTCGGTGCGTCTTTCGTTTTCTATCTGTCTTAATCACATAAGCACTTTTACTCTTCCAGCGCCTGACTTTCAAAAGGAAACCCTAAACAGGTTTGATTTTTTCCTGCCATTTTGCATTCATTCGCATTTCCATTTCAATTTTCCGAGCATTTGGTTTGGTTTTGGGAGCCCGCATCTGTTCCCGTCCGATTCGGAACGGCAGTGAAAGTCGGAGCTGTAATTAAGCTCCATAGCTGATTGGACACGCCCCCTTTTAAATCGGGCATTCTACTAATTAAGTGCGAATGATGCTCCACTCATGGGATGGCGGCTCCTCTGTCCAGTTTTCCACAGGGACGTGGCAATGCCGTTGACAATGCGGCATCGTTTACTGATTTTTCAATTGTCCCCCAGTCGTCGGTGGGGAAAATCCTTTGCGGGAAAATGGGAGAGAGAGGGGGAAGGAGGAATACCGTTTCATTAGCATTATGCGGCCACAAAAGTATTCCAGGAATCCTTTTGCTACGCCCAGGGTCCTGATCCTGGTCCAGTTTCGGGTCAAGTTGAATTATTTTAATGATCAAGGATTAAAGGAGAGATGGGCGAAAGGAGAGAGGGGGGAGGGAAAGGAGCGGGGAATGTCGCATTAGCATGCATTACATCAGGACACGTTTCCACGTCTGCTCGCCTCCTTGGCTGGTTGGTGTTGGCTTACCAGGGGGACACTGCCAGGGGAAATGAGCATCCTGTAATTACTTTATCCGACATTCGTGTAGGATTTCCACTATTTTCGGCCAGCTTGACATAATAGCAGAGATATTTGGGGAGGGAGTGGGAGGAAAAGCTGCTGGAGAGGGGGGAAACTGATGGAGATGGGCGTAATTGTAGCCAACGAACGCCCACACAATTAGACGCCTTGCACATTCTCCAAAGCGACATAAATCATAATTACTTGCTCGACCTTTTCCACACACCTCTCTTCTCTCCTCTCTCACCAATCGAGTGGGTGGCTGGGTGGTGGGGTGGTTGGGTGGTTGGGTGGTGCAAAAGTGGGTGGCGAGCGCACTCGAGTGAAGACGTTTATTAGGCGCCATTACCTCGGCATATAAAGTGCTTTCGGAGGCACTGCGTCCTCCGCTTCTCTCCGCTTCCCACTCTCCGCTCTCCACTCTCCACTCTCCGCTTCTTCTGGCCAACTCGAATGTGTTTTCTGGACCACTACAATTGATTGCACTGTGGTTATGGGTCGGGTAATTTGTTGCTGCCGCTTCGGCTTGCTTCCTGTCAACGATTCCCTGGCCTTCCCCTCCTCCTCCACTCCTCTTCTCCCACTTCTCTTTTTCTCCTTTTCTCCACTTCTCTTATTCTCTGGGCTCCCCAGGCGAAAAGTTTCTTTTGGCCCGGTAATGCACCTGATGACAGAGGCTACTGCCAATTTAAAGTATTAGTTTGCCAACGGAAAACGGCCAACAAAAAATAGCGAAACTTTTTATAACCACAAACTCTAGTTGACAAATAACATAAATATAATTCCATATAATTATTATTGCTCTCGAAGGCCACTTGAAATGTTTGTTTTACGATCAACTGGCATATAAAAAGTTCTTGATTTATTTTTGCTCTACGAATTTTCATTTGAGGGGACTGTAATGTTCGGCTATTGCGGCTCGAACATTTTCGCTCTCCACTGTTACTTTATTATTGTTTATTTTGGCTTTTAGTGGCTCTTTCGGCCAGACCAAATGAAAATTTAAGAGGCCTTCATTATTTATTTAGCCGCTGCTTGATGCCGTTTTTTCACTGTCATCGATTTACGGCAACGCCATCGTTTTTCGTTTTTCACGCCCGCACTTTTAGCGGCCTCTGATTTAGATGCATAATTAATAGATATTAATTTACGAAAATGAAATATTCGCGGCTTTTTCGGCGAGCGTCTGTCCGCTTAGCGGTTTCCCTCTGCCGTTTTAATTTGTGAATTAGGCCTCGAATGGCGCCAGATATCACAGCGATTTAAACTAACCGAAATCCAATTAGACGCACGAAATGCAAATCCGTAAAACTAGTGGTCTTGTTGAGGTCGATTGAGGGGATCGAACTCTTTGCTGCCCCCGCATGTGGCAATTAGGAATCTATTTGGTCAGTGGCACATTCAATTACTCGCACTTCCTCCGGAAATTATCAAAGAAAGTAGTTTGGCCCGAAGCGGGTGAAAATGCCGTGTTTTATGCCGGCGCTATTTAATTAATTCAAGGCTGAAGGTTGATTATCTGCTCGCCTCCGCTCGCTATTACAAAAGTTTTTATCGAGCCAACGAAACTTGCCTAATTGTGGCAAAAGACAAACAGAGGGTGATTTTCCACACAGGCCTTGGGGATACGCAAAGCGGCTCACATAGGTGTAAGCCATAATTATTTTCCAATTAAAGACCTCTAAGATTCAGAGCCGGAGTACCCAACTGGGGATTCAGAGGATTCAGAGTCCGGAGCTTCGGGCTCCGCCACTTGTT